CTTCTTCTTCTTCTTCTTCTTCTTCTTCTTCTTCTTCTTCTTCTTCTCAAGTCCATCCCATTTGCCTTTCTGAATGAGGATTGATCATCTCACCCAGGGTCCTCCTTCTTAACCCTTAGCCAAACTAACTACAAGGCAGAGAGAAACTATCCAAGTCAGCAAAATCAGAAACGAAAAGAGGGACATAACGACAGACACTGAGGAAATCCAAACAATCATTAGGTCTTACTACAAAAGCCTATATACCACAGACTTTGAAAATCTAAATGAAATGGACAATTTTCTTCATAGATTCCATATCTACATTGATTTTTAGATACTCAACCAGCTTTCCATACCTAGAATTAATCCCACTTCTTACTTTCTTTTTTTGAGACTAGACCTCATGTATCCCTGACTGGTTTGTTCTGTAGGCAAGATTCATTGGTAAACATCTGGTGTGTCTGCCTCTACCTCTCCACTGCCCAGGTTCCAGGCAAATGATACAGCTGACTTATGTGGGATAGTAATCAAGCCCAGATTTTCAAGAACGCTAAGTAAATATTGTATTACCTGAATCTTTTATTTTTACTTCATTAGACACAATCTTCTAGTTTCTTCCTGAGGTTTTCTATATTTGTGCTCATCAGAGATTCTGGCCTGTTGTTCTCTTTCTCACATTTTATGTTTTATGCCATGACAATGCTTGCCTCACTTGCTGTTCCTAAAAACTACTTTTGCTTCTATTTTCTAGGAGAAATTTCATAAAATTTGCTATCATTTCTTTCTTCAAAGCTTGGCTGAATTTGCCAGTCAGTGTACCAAGGCTCTGTAAGCTTTATGTTTTGAAAGAACATTGTTATTGATTCAGTGTCTTTAATGTTGTCTATAATATTCCTTTGTAATCTATTTAATGTCCATACGATCAGCAGTCATTGATCTTCTTCCATTTCTACTATTAGTATTTGTGTCTTCCCTTCTTAATAGTTATCTTGAAAAAAAAATAGTTGTCTTGATTCCATGCTATTCATCTTTTTAAAAAGTCCATTTTGGGGCTTATCTCTGTTGATTTTCTGTTTTCAACTTCATAGATTGCTGTTTTATTTATTTTTTTCTGTTGCTTACATTTCTGTGCTTACTAAAGTCTGGGGGCTTGTTACAATCTGCAAATAAAGATACTTTGACTACTTCCTTTTCTATTTGTATCCGCTTAAGCTCCTTTAGCTGTCTATTGCGCTAGTTAAAACTTCAAGTATGTATTGAACAAGTATGGAGAGAAGCATATAGTTAAGACTTCAAGTATATACTGAATAGGTATATAGTTTTCTTACGTATTGAATTAGTATGGAGAGAAGCATATAGTTAAGACTTCAAGTATATACTGAATAGGTATATAGTTTTCCTGATTTTAGTGGACTTGCTTTGAGTTTTTCTCCATTTAAATTGATGTTGCCAATGGGCTTGCTGTAACCTGCCTTTATTGTTAAGGTATGTCGCTTGTGTCCCAAATCTATGCAGGACTCTTACCATGAAGGGGTGTTGGATTTTGTCAAAGGCCTTTTCTACATCAGATGATTACGTGGTTTTTGTCTTTCAGTTTGTTTCTATGGTAGATTGATCTAACTCTTAATTTTCTCTTTTCTTCTGATCTGAGGATCAAATGCCCGTGTAGGTGGATTTCAGAATTTGTAAAGTGCAAGTGTTAGTTATACTAATAATTATGTTATTACTATTTCCTCCTGGTGAGCTTCTAACATTTGCAACAGGGTAGGGGTAGGGCAAGCAGCCTGAGAAAAGTACAGTTCCCCCTATCTGTACAGGTTTGAGGTTGGCAGATACTGGAGGGAGCAAACGCATCACGGAGAATCGAGCTGACTCACGCTTGACACGCCTTCCTAGACTTCTGGGAGATATCTTCTGATTCTCCTGGAGACGGGTTAACCACCCTCCTCTAGGCATCAAAAATAAAATGAAATAAAAAAAAGGGGGGGGTGCTTGAAGAGTGGGGGCAGAGATGGCTTAGAAACTCTGGCTGTTCCTTCAGAGGGCATGAGTTGGGATTCCCAGTACCCACACGACCTTCTGTTAACTCCAGAGTTAGGGACCGAACGCCCTCTTCTGGCCTCCGGAGGTATTGCACACACCGTGTGCACAGACACACCGGCCGGCAAACATATCCAAAGCCACCTAGTTCAAATTCTTACCGAAACAATATGAAAGCGGGTGACTCACACCCAGGTCCTTTACCGCTACAAGCACCCGGCACATAGTAGGCTCTCAGTCCGCATCTGTGGAACGATGGTCGCTTGGTAACACAAGCACTACTAACCGGGGAGCGACAGTGCGGCTCCGTGCAGAGGCTGGGGGTTGGGGGAGGGACGACTTCGGGGTGCCGCAACCGTGCAGGTCTGCAGTCTCCGGGTGGCCACGGTCGCGTCGCTGTGGAGACCAGCTCGATGCGGGGCGGGAACTACATTTCCCAGCTCCTCCGGGGCGCGCGGCCGGGGTGCGGCGCGCGCGGGGCGGGGGGGGGTGGGGTGGTGGCAAGTGCACGGGCCCCGCTGCGCACCCGGCTCCGCGCCCCGCCGCGCTGGCCGCCCGCCCCGGCCTCCGCCTGGGGGATGAGGTGGGAGGCGCTAGGAGCCACTTAGCTACTGCCCGGCGCCCGATGCGGCACTTGCTCGCTGCCCCCGCCACCGAAGCGCCCGCCGGGCACAATGCAGCACTGAGGCGGCGGCGGCTGCGGCTGCGGCAGCGGCAGCGGCGCGGGCTGGGAAGGGGCGGCCGGGAGCCGGAGCCCAAGCCCGAGCCCGAGCCCGAGCCCGGGGCACCATGCGTGCAGCGGCGGCCGCGTCCTTCTGGATGCTCTGCGTCTTGGGGACCTGGCCCCTGGCGCGCTGCGGTCAGGCAGGTAAATTCGCAGCTGCCGGGGCTTCCCGGATTCGTTGGAGCCCCGAGGCCCCCCGAAAAGCCGCCTCCGCGATTTCACGGTGCGCGGGTTTTTCTATTTTTATTTTTATATCTTGAAGGGCGGTGAGAGAGGAGCAAATGCACACACACGTGAGTGTGGAGGGGGCTCAAGGATGCTTCAGCAATCTGGGGTCAAATGCGTTTTTATTTTTCTCCCCGAAGAAGAGTCGCCTTCAGGAGAATGGGTGACTGCTTCTGGGCCCGGAGATGCTCTCGGATGAGCTGGTCCAGGGCCAGCTGGTGTCTCTGCGTCCTTCCCAGATGGGGTCCTGGAGGGAGGAGACGGGGGAATTTTCTTAGGAGATGTAGGACCGCACGATGGAGGACTGTGGGTTAGGGTCATTATTATTATTATTTTACCGTTTCTCTTCACTCCCTCCTTCCCTCCCGCCTGCCTGCAAGGAGACGCCTCACTGAGGGAACTGGAGAGGGGGGACGAAAACCGCTTCCTGGAGCGCCAGAGCATCGTGCCACTGCGCCTCATCTACCGCTCGGGCGGCGAGGACGAAACTCAGCACGACCAGCTCAACACGCGGGTGCGGGGCGACCCTGGCGGCCGGCAGGTGAGCGGCGGGGTGCGGGAGGTGGTCCTCGGCACAGCCCAGCGACCCCGCTTTTGCTTAGGGTTGCCCTGGAGACGAGGTGTACCGGGTGTTATGATGCTCCCTGTGCAAAAAGGAGGAGAAAAGGAGACAGAGGAAAGGGGAACCAGAAGAAGCGCAGGCCCAAGGTTTTGCAGAGAGGTGGGTGGCTGGCGTTGGCCGCTCCTAGTAGCCCAGTAACCTGAGTGACAGGTAGAGACCTCATCTTCTTAGTCAAGCAAAGATTGTATGGGGTAGGAGATTGTATCTGGGCAGGATATCATCATCTCTGTGTTTTAACTCCGAGAGTCGGCGGGCGTTGCAACCCAAGATAAGTATTGTAGAAAGAAGAGAAGAAATGTAGGCAACGCTAAGAAACCAAACTAAAATAAAGTACATTGCAGACTTTCCTGCTCACTTAGATTTTGAACACCAGAGGTATGCCCGTTCACTCCTAACTTCCTCAAATGAGTCCTCCGCACTATTTATTGCTGTGTCTGCGATCAATATCAAAACATCTATAGATATGATTGAAGGTACACTGGCTAATTCTAGCAAATATTTTTTGGGACCATGGAAGTTTTTTTTGTGTGAGCGTGGATCAACCTGACAGTTCATTCATCCGCAAGTACATCTGAAGCTCATGTAGTTGAATTTTTTTGTAAACTTTACTGAAATAAAGATAAGCTGGGAATTTTCACATCATACATATGTTCAACACTAACATAATTGTAATGCAATCATGTACTCGGTATTCACATGAGGTATGTAAAGACTGAAAAAAGTTAAGTCTACATTTGCAGCCAAATAATTGGCTCCATTAAATTTTTGTTGACACAGGTAGAAATTCAGGGTTACTTGTAGTATCCATTGAAGTTAGATTATTGCAGTAGAAATCCCAATATGTCCAGCTCTTAATGAAGGATGTATTTAGTTAACATCATTCCTGCAGCCTCTGACGAAAGAAAGAAAGAAAGAAAGAAAGAAAGAAAGAAAGAAAGAAAGAA